TGAGGTGATAGCTCATTGTGGTTTTGATTTGTATTTCCCAGTAGTAAGCACCTTTCCCTATACCTGTTGACCCATTTGTGTGTCTTCTTTGGAAAAGTTGTCTATTCGGGTCCTTTGCCCAATTTTAAAATTGCTTTTGGATTCCCACCCCCCCCCCCTTATTGAGTTGTGTGATTTCCTTACGTATTTTGGATATTAACCCCTTATCAGATACATGGTTTGCAAGCATCTTCCCTTATTCCATAGGCTGTCTTTTCAGTCTGTTGACTGTTTCCTTTCTGTGCAGAAGCATCTAGCTTTAGCTGCCTATGCAGTTCATTTCATATCCAAAAAATCATTGCCCAGACCAATGTCAACAAGCTTTTCCCTATGTTTTCTTCTGCTATGTTTTCTTGTAGTGTTTTTACGGTTTCAGTTCTTTAAGTTGTTGGATTTTTTCCTTTTTTTTTTTTTTTTTTTTTTTTAGTGTTTATTTTTGAGAGAGAGACACACACAGAGTATGAGCAGGGGAAGGGTAGAGAGAGAGGGAGACACAGAATCTGAAACAGGTTCCAGGCTCTCGGCTGTCAGCACAGGGCCCAAATTCACTAGCCATGAGATCACGACCTGAGCTGAAGTCGGATGCTTAACCAACTCAGCCACCCAGGCTCCCTGTTTTTTAAAAATGTTTATTTTGAGGGGGGTGAGGAGCATAAAGAGAGGGAGCAAGAGAATCTCAAGCAAGCTCCCCACTGCCAGCATGGAGCCTGATGCAGGGCTTGATTCCATGAACCATGAGATCATGACCTGAGCTGAAATCAAAAGTCAGATGCTTAACTGACTGAGCCACCCAGGTACCCCTGGTTCTTTAGGTTTTTAAGCCATTTTGAATTGATTTTTGTAGGTGGTATAAGGGCCAAATTTCATTCTTCTGAATATGGATATCCAGTTTTCCCCCAGTACCATTTTTTGGGTTGTCTTTCCCCATTGTATGTTCATGGCACTCTTGCCAAAGATCAGTTGAATGTAGATGCGTGGATCTATTTCTGGGCTTTTATTCCATTACTTGTTATTCTATGTACTTGATTTTAATGCCAGTGCCATACTGTTTATCAGAGCTTTGTAATATAGTTTGAAATCAAGAAGTATGGTATGTCCAGCTTTGTTCTTCTTGCTCAAGTTGCTCTGACGATCTGAGGTCTTTTGTGGTTCATATGAATTTTATAATTCTTTTTATATTTCTGTAAAAATGCCATTGGGATTTTGATAGGGATTGCATTCACTCTGTACATCACCGTGGGCAGTAGGGACACTTCAACAACATTAGATCTTTCCAATCTGTGAACGTGGGATGTCTTTTACTTACCTGTGTCTTTTTTTCATTTCCTTCATCATTGTTTTGGAGTTTTTCAGTGTATAGGTATTTCATCTTTTTGGTTAACTTTATTCCTAAGCATTTTATTCTTTTTGCTGCTTTTCATTTCAGATAGTTTGTTGTTTTTATATAGAAACATAACTGATTTTTGTATGTTAGTTTTGTATCCTGCAACTTTACCAGCTTATCAGCTCTAGCAGGTTTTTCTGATTGAGTCTTTAGAGTTTTCTACATACATGGTCATGTCATCAGCAACATGAGATAATTTAACTTATTCTGTTCCTATTTGAATACATTTTATTTCTTTTTCTTGTCTGATTGCCCTGGCTAGGACTTCCAGTACTATGTTGAATAGAGGTGGTGAGAGTGAGCATCCTTGCCTTATACTTGACCTTAGACGGAAAGGTTTCAATCTTCTCCCACTGGTTATGATGTTAGCTGTGGGCTTTTAATATATGGCCTTTATTGTGTTGAGGTAAGTTCCTTCTATACTTACTCTGTTGAGGGTTTTTATCATGAATGGATGTTGAATTTTTTCATCTGCTGAGACAATTATGTAGTTTTTATTTTCTTTCATCCTGTTAGAATGGCTATTATCAAAAAAGACAAAAGATAACAGAATTGGTAAGAATGTGGAGAAAAGGAAACCCCTGTGTCCTGTTGGTTGGAATATAAATGGGTAAAGCCATTATGGAAAACAGTATGGAGCTTCCTAAAAGAATTAAACATAGAAGGACCTTATGATGCAGCAATCCTACTTCTGGGTATATATCTGAAGGAAATAAAATCAATATCTCATAGAGATCTAGGCACCCATCATGGTAGCATTATTCACAACAGCCAAGATGTGGAAACAACCTAAATGTCCATCAATGGATGAATGGATAAAGTACGATATATATTTATAGCATGGAATATTAGCCTTTACAAAGAGGGAAATCTTGCCATTTGCAACAACATGGATGAACTTGGAGGATGTAATGCTAAGTGAAATAAGCCAGCCCGAAAGACAAATACTACATGATCTCGCTCATATGTGAAATCTAAAATTGTCCAACTCGTGGAAGCAGAGAGTAGAATGCGGTTGCCAGGGGATGGAGGCAGTAGAAATGAGAAGGTGTTGGTCAAGGGGTATAAAGTTTCAAGTATGCAGGGTAGGTAAGTGCAGGAGAGAGAACGTGCAACATGGTGACTATAGTTAACGATAGCATATAGTTGAAATTTGCCATGAGCAGGTCTTAAGCAGAGATCACACCAGAAGATACCTATGTGAGAAAATGAATATGTTAACTAGATTGTAGCGATTATTGCACAATGTATGTCTATCAAAATCATCAAACTGTAAATTAACTATCCAATATTTATTTGTAATTATACCTCAGTCAAGATGAAGGGAAAAAAAAACAAAAAACAAAAAACCTCCAAAGGGCCACACCCTTTGAACAAGCCATCACACCTCCAGGATATGCATACAAAACAGTCATGAGTTGATTCTCATTATTCACAGAAGTTGATGTTCTATGAAGTCTCCATGAACACTGGGTTAATGAATGCTGAACCAGTCCTCCTAGGGGAAACGCAGGGCTAAGGGTCCTGGGAGCCTCTGGTCACAATATTTTTTAAGACCCATTAATACATAACCTTACTTTATGGATGTTTCTGTTTAAAGACACCTTATTTAATGTACGTTGCTAATTCGTCAACTTCGAGCGCACGGCTGACTGCACTTTAATTCATTCCCGAACGAAGCTTATCCAACACGTGTATTTTCTCCATAAGGCGCATCCCAGCCTCCATGCACTTTGGAGCCGTAGACGGCACTCCAGCACCGTGCTGAGGGGCCATTTGAGACAGCAAAAGCGCAAACAAAAAGCATAAAAAGGTGGAAAACTTGGCACGAAATAAACCGCAAACACGACACCTGTTCATAGGCTAAGAGCCGAAACAGGACAGCAGTGTCACTTTGGCCTCAGCTGGGAACATGTGTGTCCAGCGGCTAACATTTTTGCGGCTCCGTGCATGTCCTCGGACCATGCAAGTGCCACGGGCCTAGATTTTGAGGTTAGAAGTAAATGTCAGTGAGCAGGTGAATTCGAAAATACGGGATCTGTGAATAATAAGGATCAGTTGTACGTCAAAAGGGTGTTGATGGCAACATTGTAATAACAAAATCGCTGGATGTGACCTAAATACTACTTGGTAGAGATTGGTTAGGCCAAAGGTTCTCAACCTCACCACTACTGGCCTTCAGGAACAGAAAATTCTCCGTCACGATGGGGGAGGGGGTGCTGTTCCCGTGCATTGCGAGATATTTGGCGACATCCCTGACGTTTACTCAGTAGTTGCCAGTGGGAGTACCCCACTCCCTCCACGTTGTGACAACTTGGCACTGTCCCCAGACGCTGCCAAATGACCACCTCCAGGTTACATACAATAAGAGGCAGCCACACAACGATATGCTGTGTGGCCTTTAACAAAGATGGTGTATTAAACGCCTTGGGAAAACTTCCATGACATTTCTGAGTGGAGGAAAAAAAAAAAAAAAAGGCAGGTGCCAGTGCCAACTGGACGTATACGAAAATTGCATTTTTACATCTGTGTGTGTTCGGATGCACACACACGTAGAGGAAAGAGAGAATGAGGGAAGAAGAGTGAACAATGTTCTGTTTTTCTGCTGGACAAGCATGTTTGAAGCCTTTGCATCCATAGAGTCTTGAGCCTGAATTTCAGCGTCGACTGGAGACACAGATCTGAGGGCCATGGGGACGTGCTGCCCTAGACTGAGGCTCCTGTCAAGGGTGGTTTGGGATCTGGAGTCGAGGCCTCACCTCTTCCTGGCAGCTGTCAATTAGCCCTTAGCCTGGCACCTAGGTCCCCTCTGTCCTGACCCGCTCCCTACCCTCTCCCTCAAACCTTCAACCTGCCCCCCCGCTGCACGCCCTCAGTCAGGGGGTTCGTGATTCCTGCTTAGCTGCGACCCTGGCCTTCTGCTCAGCTGGGGCCAGTGCCCTCCCCTGGGGGACAGGATCCTGGTCCATACTGCCAGCCCCTAATTGGGGTTACCCTCAATAGGTGAGAAGCCCCAACATCATGCCATGCTCCCTCGCCTCCCAAGCCGGGCCCTGCCCCCGAGGCCGGATGCCCTTGTTTATCTAGACAGTTGCCCAGTATAGCACAGCTCCTCATGACCATCTCTGGGGCTTGTGTCTGAATCAGTCCAGCCGCACCCCCAGAGAACAGAGCTGGCAGCTGACTAGCTGTCCCACCTGTCCCCTCATGTGTCAACACCCTCCCTCTGCTCTCCCTTTGTGGTGAGCTCCGGAGCTCCACAAACCTGCCTCGGGCGCGTATCACCCGTGTGGCTTTGGGCAACTTACTGGGCCTCATCTTCCTCATCTGTAAAATGGGTTCCTCTCAAAGCCACGAGGAGGATTAGCTGAGCTAATAAGTGTGAAGCCCATAGTAGGCCCTCAATCAGTAGCGGCTTATAGGGTTTCCATTTGGCATTACGAAAAGCTCCGGGACTAGACGGAGGTGATGGTCGCACAACACTGCACGTGGACTTATTGCCGCTGAATTGCACGCTTTAAAATGGTTAAACGGCAATTTTCTTGTTGTTTTGCATATTTTACCACAATCAATCCGTCAACGTCCCTAGTTCTTTGCGCACTGGCCTGTCCAGGTTTAATATTTGCCTTCGTCTCCTCTTCCACCTTAGAACACTACCCTGACCTTGGAGCTGACTAAGACATCTTGTTTTTTCCTCTTCCTGGAAGGCCCAGCCCCCCAGAGGCCTTCCACAGGGCAGTCCGGCAAGGGGATGCAGCGGAGGAGGCCTGCTGGCCGTCCAACCATACTTCAAACCCCGTGGCTACAATTGGCAGCCTGAGAGGGAAGGACCCCACCCAGCCCAGGAGCTTGGAACGAATCCTTTGTTTCTCTGGGGTGGTGCTTGTCAGCAGCCGGGGGTCCCTCTCGGGGCCTGTAGCTAAGCCTGGTCTGGTGAACTCCACTCAATCCGGCCCTGGAGCCTCCCCCATCCACAAACGAGCCCCTCAGGACAACCTGCCTAAACCAAGATCGTCATTTGTCACTTCCCCCGCCCTGACGGCCTCTTCCCAGATTGCGACACCCAGGAGCGGCACTGTCCTTTCAGCTGGCCAAGCCAGAAACCCGGAGCTCGCAGCCCTCCTTATGAGCCCACCCGGATACCTGGCACCCCAGACCTCTCTGCCACCCTTCCAGGGCCTACACGGACGGCCCGCGTCCATCCTCCCGAGGGTGGACGGTCCCGTTGGCGGGTGTGTGCACTTCCAAGCCTAAGAGGTAGGCAAGGGCAGGTGTTTGTGGCGGGGTGGGACGTCGGAAGAACTACATAGGGGGACAGATCGAGGGGTGCCAGAAGAAGAGGGACAGACCCTGGGCAGCAGCCTGCTTAAGGGATAGGGGCGAGCCTGCTTGCAGCACCCTGAGGAGTCGGTGTTTCCTCCATTCTCGGCTTCCTGAGCAGAAGGCAGAGCCTGATCCCGGTCTCCCAGCTTCCGAAGGGCAGCTTTATGTCAGGTCCTAAGTGTTTAATCCTGTGTTTTCAGTACACCCCCCCACACCACTTAGCTCTCTGCTTTCCTGTGGCCAAGGGCCGGGCTTATCACCAGTGGGGCCTGAGGCTTAGCCTGATGCCCCCTGGGAGGTCTCCTGCCAAGAAAAAGAAAGGATGGTGGGAGATCCCCACTGGGCGGCTGTGGGCTGGGTCTCCCTGGCTCCCCCACCCCCTCCCCCCACCGAAGGCCCAGCTCACACCTCAGCTTCCTCCAAAGACTCAGGGAGCTGCTGTTGCTCCCCTAGGCCTGACTCTGCCTTCTCCACCCCTGCTTCCCCTCTTCCCCCTGCCCCCTTTCTCCCTGGCCGAGGTCCCGGCCCGCCTTCTCCATCCCTCCTCCACCCTGCAGCCGGAATGAACTCTCAAAAGCACAGGCTGCCTCCCCGCTGACACATTTTCAGGGGCTCCCTGTTGCTCTCCGGACAAGGCCCAGCTGACCTCTCCCTGCCACGCCCTGCCCGTCGGGCCACACCACAGCAAACAGCACATCTTTTCCCTCCTGGGACGAGTCGGTCAAGCTTTTACGTCCTCGCATCTACCATATCCTCCACTGCTTCTTTGCCTGGCCAATGCTCCCTCGGGCACGTCCCTCAAGACGTGCAAGGTGAATCCTAATAGCACCCCTGACATCATAACGCCTAAAAGCTCCGTTGAAAGAGGCAACTTCAAGTATCAGCGTGTCAGATAGGCCTGGGTGCAAAACCCAGGTGGACTGGTCACTGGCTGTGTGGACCTGAGGCAAGGTAGTCAACCCCACGGAATTGATTTCTTCATCTCCAAGGCGGGCCAATAATACTGACCTCACAGAGTGGTCATGAGGCTCACGTTAACATGAGAGGCATGTGGACCTGCCCGGCTGTTGCGGTGACCCCACAAACTCTACAGCTGCAGCTGTGACCGCGTCATTATTATTTTCTGCATCCGGAAGGAAACGTAGGCAGTAGATTCCCAGCTGTAACAGGGCAGGTCTAATCCAGGACACGACAAACAGTGATTAGGACAGGCACCGTCAGATGAAATGAGCACATCCCCACGGTGCCTGCAGGACAACTACGTTTTTGCAAAACCGGTAACGTGTTTTGTTTTGTTTTTTTTAATTTTTTTTTCAACGTTTATTTATTTTTGGGATAGAGAGAGACAGGGCATGAACAGGGGGAGGGCCAGAGAGAGAGGGAGACACAGAATCGGAAACAGGCTCCAGGCTCCGAGCCATCAGCCCAGAGCCTGACGCGGGGCTCGAACTCACGGACCGTGAGATCGTGACCTGGCTGAAGTCGGACGCTTAACCGACTATGCCACCCAGGCGCCCCGGTAACGTGTTTTTGATAGAGGGAAGAACATCTCGAAGGAGACGGCCCAGGATGTCAGATGCGATGCAAATTTTTAATGATGTTATCTATTTACTTATCACTTACCTATATTTCCTTTTTCTTTTTTTTTTTTTTTTTCCTGTAATGAGTGCTGTGGGTTGGCTTGATATGTTGGCACCCTAACCCCTTGGTACCTGGTATTGCGATCTTATTTGGAAACAATGATCTTTTCAGAAGGAATCGAGTTAAGATGAGGTCGTGTTCGCTTAGGATGAGGCCTAATCCAATGTGACTGGTGTCCTTATAAGAAGAAAGAAGACGCAGAAACGCACGCAGGAAGAATGCCATGTGACTGGAGGCAGACGTTAGAGCAATACGTTGACAAGCCGTGGAGCTCCAAGGATTGCCAGCAGCAACAGAGGCTAAGAGAAAGGCAAGGAAGAAGGCTCTCCTAGAGCCTTCAGAGAGGGCACGGCCCTGTGGACATGTTGACCTCAGATTTCTGGCCTCTGGGATTGTGACAGAATGAACTTTCATTGTTGTCAGGCACCTGGTTTTTGGCAATTTGTTACAGCAGCTTTTGGAGTTGTCTTACTTGAGTATTAGAAAGGGCTGAATGTCTTCTCTTTTTTTTTTTATGATTTTTTTTTTTAAAGTAATCTCGACATGCAACGTGGGGCTCGAACTCATGACCCTGAGATTAAGAGTCATATGCTCCACTGACTAAGCCAGCCAGATGCCCCCAGGTTTTTAAAGGAGGAGAAAGAGAAGGAGCGGGAGGAGAAGGAGGAAAGGCTGAAGCTTGAAGTGAATCTGCTAAGGGCTCAGCCCAGATGTGCAGGGAGTATTTGTTGAAGGAATAAATATGTCTCCGTCATACAAAGTCGTTCTTCTCTGTGTCCCATCTGGCTTCTTGCTCCTTGTGACCCAACCACCCCTTGTCATTGGTCATCCTTCACTCTGCTTCCAGCATAATCTCCCTAAAACACAAGTCACACTGCCACATCCCCCTTCAAGACTGTCAGTGGTTCCCAACTCCGTGGCCCAGCATCCAAGGCCACTGTCTATTCCAAGCCATTTTCTGGGTCCCCTCCCCTGCCCGCCCTGCACAACGACATCCGGGGATCTTGCTGCCCTGGCCTCCCCACTCCGGCACTGTCACACCCCTGTGCCACCCAGCTAGCCCTCTCCACCTCTCCAAGCACCAACACTGCTCAGGCCTCTCAGGGCCGGAAATGCTGGTCAGAGGGCCAGTCGAGGGCACAGCCTCATCAGCTCTCCCTCCAGGAAAAGGGAACAGAGGGGGGCTTTTCTGGAATGTTTCCAGGCTTCTCTTTAGCTGGATAGGGACTTAGTCTCCAGCAGGGGAAGAAACAGCAGATGTCTTCTGCTCCCACGAGTGACCCTGTCAGCCTTGAAGAATCACAGGAAGCAGTTCTGGGGACCTGCTAATTAGCCACCAATTCCCTCAGGTCTGGCAGGGGACTGGGAGGGAAGGGCCTTTGGATCCCCCTTGATTACACGCTCTGGCCTCTTCTACCTTCCAAATGTCTTCTTCCTTTTCCTTCTCGAAGAGCGGGGACGACAGGGTTCCAAGCAGAGAGGGGAGGCCAGGCAAAGAGAGCCCCACGTGTTCCCCAGTTTGGGTTGGCTGTAAACAACTCTCCCCTTCCCTGACTGGCCACGTTCTTGAGCAGGATTTTCAAGACACTTTAGCTGGGTCAGGGATTGCTTGCTTCTCAGGAACCAAAAACCAGTCAGGATGATGGGAATTCGTCGGAAGCTGGGGGACAACAGGGGACACAGGACCAGGGGCCACCAAGCTGCAAAGTTGTCAGATACGAAGGTGGCCACAGTTTCTGTTCTCTCATCTCAGCTCACCTCTCTCAGCCCATCTGCAGCATTCTCTGATTCGCCTTGGGGATTAGCTCCCTCTGTTCTCTCCTCAGGGTCCCAAGTGGCACCTTTTGTTCCTAAACCGTACAGGGCGCCCAGGCCCAGCCAACGAATCCATTCTCTTCATACTTGGAAGCAGGAATTTGCACCCAACAGCAAACGTGGGTGTCCCAGTTGTGTGCTGGGCACTGACTGGTCTAAGGCCTTTAAGTGGGCTTTCTCATTTAATCTTTAAAATAACGCTACAAGGTGAGTTATATTATTATCTTCATCATGGAAGGGAATAGAAGCTCAGAGTGGTTAAGTAACTTGCCTAGGGTCTCTTAGCATTTGAATGAGGGAAGTCAGTATTTGAACCCGGGCAGTCTCATTCTGAGGCCTGTGTCCTGAAAATGATTGGCCCCACTCAGCTTCTGGATTCATTCTCCTGCATCAGGTGTCCCTTCCTGGCCCAATCGGCAGTGGCCACAAGGACAGGTGGTGGGTCACATAGCACTCGGCTGTGGAAGGAGGAGGGGACAGGCCTCTCCCCCAGAACGGAAGTTCCTCTAGGACAGAAACTTTCGTTGTTTTGTGCCCTGATGTACCCAGTGCCTAGAACAGTGCTTCGCACACAGTAGGTGCTCACAAATTGTTTGCTGAGTGAATGAGCACGAAGCAGCTTGGACTTGTTTCTGGCTAAGTGGAGGCAGAGTTAGATATAGCCTTACTTGGACTACATGTGACTACCTCACCCTTAACTACAAGAAAGAAATCTTTCCTCTTTTGCCTCCTTGTCACCGTTTTAATCCAGGAACACCAACCCCAGAGTTCTGCCCAAGACTGTGCAGTGGGATGTGAGTAGCCACAGAAAAAGCAGCAGGCTCTGTGCTCCGTGCAGAACAGTCCAGGTTAAATAAAGTGGCTCCTGCGTCTCCCAGAGTCGTCATTAGCTGGAGCCCCATGACTTGCACGCGTTTCTTCCCAACGTTCTTTGACCACGAAGCCTTTTCTGAAGGCGTCTCGGGGGGGCTAGTAGGATGAACAATACATTATAAGAACGGAAATTTCAATCAATTTTGTCGGGCTGATTTCATTTGATTCAGTCTCTGGCTCTGCCCAGCTCCCCCGGGATGTGAAGGGCTTCAGAGGGAGCCCCTCTGCGGCAGTCACTCTCAGCCCACCCTCATTTAGCCTCACTTGTTGGGAATCTCGTCTGGGAAACCCACGTGCCTCCAGACCTTCTTCTTAGGCTCTGGTTGGTCTGGGAGAGGGACCTTCTCTTCCCACACTTGAGCTGTCTGGCCTCAACACCTTCTTTCATGTTGTGGTTTCAAACGCAGTTGTATTTCCCCCCACAGGTTCCAGGCAGAATATGAAGCTGGGAAACAATTGCGGTGGATTGCACTAATTATTTCCATTTCATTTGATGAGCCTGAAGGTTGGGACCTTAGATTAGGATATGAGAATGAAAATTAGGCAACATCTTGTCAGTTAATGGGTTTCTTCAGCGCCGCGTAGGCAGCTCCGTGCTCTGAAGACGTGCGTCCTCGAAGCCCTTTCTGGGCTTGCCAGACAGACATGCATCAATCACCCGCCGTGCCCCTCATATGCACAAGGCACTGGGGATCTGAGGCTGCCTGGGGATGCAGCTCTGCCTCTTGGCCCAAGGGCGTTCGCCTCCTGAGCCCTTCATTTCCTCATCTGCAAAGTGGGCATGATACTTCACTAAACAAGGAAAGCACCCGGTACATGGTAGGTCCTCAGTGAATGTTCTCTTTTCTTTGACCCCCTTACCAAGTTCTTTCTTGTGCAATACAGGTATTGTATTGGGGTGATAGAAAGAGCATGGGCCGGGGCGCCTGGGTGGCTCAGTCGGTTAGACGACTGACTCTTGATTTCGGCTCAGGTCATGATCTCACAGTTGTGGAGATTGAGCCCTGTGTCAGGCTCCACGCTGATGGTGCAGAGCCTGCCTGGGATTCTGTCTCTCCTTCTCTCTCTCTCTCTCTGCCCCTTCCACACGCCCACGCACTCTCTCAAGATAAATAAATAAACTTAAAAAAAAATTTTTTTTTAAAGAAAGAGCGTAGGCTTATGGACTCTTAGCTACCTGGACGATCTTGGACAGGTCATTTAATCTCCCTGAATCTGACTCCCCCTCTGTAGAGTGGGGATTACAATACCATGTGGATAAAATGAGATATTACTCGCAGAGCCCCCAAAAGAGTATTGTTTAAACTTCCCCTTAACAACTCTACTTCTCAGAACCAAAACCGACTCTCTGTAGCTTCCTCTCAGGGCCAAACTTGGGCAGAGCAGGGCAGCACGGAGGGAGGCCACCCCTCCTGGGATCGGGTCTTCCTCTCTGTTCTTTCTCTCTCGTAGTTCAAAGTTCTCTCCTGCACATGCCAGTCCCCGGGTCTCCACCCCAAGCTCTCAGCCGCAGCTGGTCACAGAGAAGGCAGAGACCCCCCCACGGCCCAGCCAAAAGCTGCACCTCAGCCCCCAAACCTCCTTGGCTGCTTCACCATTACGCCTCCTTCTCTGTCCAGCGCCTTCCTGAACCCCTCTTCGGGTGTCACTTTCAGATGACAGTCTTTCTTTATCTGTCCTGCCCTCCTGGGAGGAGGTCTTGCCGTGTCCTGACTTTAGAACCATCGAGGCCCCGTAAAGTCACCAGGACTGTGAACCCATGAGCACAGGCCTCCCGGACCCGGTGGCTCCAAGAGCTTCTGCTCCCCTTTGCCCTGCGACGTCATTGGAAGCGAGCTCTCCGAGCTTGTGGGCCTCTCAGATCCCCTTCTAACAATCTTTGTTCAGTTTATTCTGCACGTCACGGACGACAAGGCAGAAGGGTCACCTCACATCCTCGAGCCCAGGCACTGTTTCCAGCACTTGGGTTCTGGTCAGGAAATGTTCGTGAAAAGGTCAGAGGGGGGTCTTGGACCGGTGGCCTTTGCACAACAGCCAGCCTCTTCTTGTCGCCGGCTGATGTTTCTTTGCGAGGGGCTCCCTGGGGCGGCACTATCTGGACAGTTCCAGAAACGCATGTGGGGAGTCAGCCTGTGCTCCGGCTGGGAGAAGCATCGTTTGTGAGGCCGGTGTGGAATCCCCGCCTCAGGCACGTGTGCACAGCACTCCAGTGTCCCAGGGCATTGCCGGGTAACAGGCTGGGACCATAGTCCCAGTGGGCAGAGGCCAGTGCCACGGGCTGGCCCAGCGGATGCATCGTAGCAGCTGCCGCCTCGGCAACATGCCAGGCCCAGGACCCACGGCCCATAAGCGCTCTCCACACATTCCCCCAGTGACCCCTCAGCGGAGGTGTCAGCGGAAACTAAAGCACAGAGAGGTGAGGAGATTGCTCCAGGTCACACAGCACTAAGTGCTGAGGATCTGAGCTCGCCTCTGCCTGACTCTCATGTCTGCCCTCCTGACCACATGCTTTGCAGCAAATAGGGCCAACAGAGAAGGGACATAGGACTTCCCACGATGCACGGAGCACAGCTAGGGGTTGGCACACCGTGTTGTTGGCACGGTCAAATCAGAAGAGGGAAAGCCACTGGGAGAGCAAGGCTGAACAGGGCCACAGTGACCCAAGGCCCCCCCCGATGTGTGTAGGCCCAGCCACAGAGGGGAGGGGAGCGGGAGGGGGAGGAGAGCCTTGGGGCTCGGGCTCAGGACGGGCTCAAGCCGGTGCTCTGGGTCCCAGGTGCACCTCTTGCTGGCTGGGTGACGTAGGCGTGTTCCCTCGCCTCTCTGAGCCTCTGTCCCGACACCTGCACAGCAGCGAGGTGATGGAAAGGGAGGAGCCCGCTGTTCAAAAGCGCCTGGCATGGCCCGGCGCAGCACCCAGCTCCCAAAAGCTGATGGGCAAAGAGAGGGAGAGTCACCCAGCACACCTTTGCTCCCCTCTCTGCGTGCTTCATTCCCTCCCCCTGTCCTTCCCTCCTTCCTTCCCTCTACCTCTCTCTCTTCCTGCTTTGATTTTCTCCCTCTCCACACCCC